GCTCTCCTATTGGTAGAGCGTGTGACATCAACCAATAGGAAAGATTAATCCAACCCAGGTTGGTGCAAACCCGATCGGGCCGAAAACGCTATTAATCTCCTCAATCGTCGCAAATCTTCGTCCTTTCATGGGCCTTTTAAATTTTCCAAGTTTCGTCACCAGTTATAACCCTTTTGAGCAGATCAAGATCATCATTGACGTCGTTCAACATGTCTTGGGCGATGTTCATGCGACGCTGCTTCTGATCAAAATTAAGCAGTTTTGGAACGAATTTCGCTGACACACGTGTCATACCCAAAACATCCGTTAAAATTGATTGGCATGAGCCAAACGATATGTTAAGATCATCAGCTATTTCTCTAATCGTGATTCGACGATTTTTCAACACAATTTCTTTCACTTCCTGAACATTTTCGTCGGTTTTTGACGTACTGGGGCGTCCAGAGCGAGGTTCATCGTTAACATTTTCTCGGCCATCTTGGAATAACTTATACCATTTATAAACTTTTTTTTGCTCAAAGTTGACTCACCGTACGTCACTGTCAACATTTCAAGAGTTTTTGAACACTTAATACCATTTTTTACACAAAAATTAATACAAACTCTCTGCTCCATTATTTTCAACAGCAAAAAATCGCCGAGCACGCAAACACGAGTCTAACCTTTATGCCTCTCACATAAAAACAACACATGCTATATAGTCAAAACTGTGAACATATGATCGTGACGAGTGTACTAACACAACAAAAAAATTTTGAAATTAGAGTGTACAGAGCGCGCGAAATTCAAAAAGTCACCTTACTTTTTGATCACACCTCGTATACTCAATATTCTGTTTAATATTTGTTTGGTTTCTACTTTACACATCTTACATATCAGAAAATTTTGATTAAATTCACATGCATAATGTTCTCAGTACTAATAAATAAGAAAATAATATATATATAAACAATAAGAATTTTACTGGACCGTGTCCAGTAAATTCATTTAAAAATTCAACAATAAGAAATAGAAGTAATGGCCATAACGGTCAAAACTAAATCTTTATGCTAATTATTTAATGCTTAAATAATTCAATCTTCCTATATATGCTATATATAGATACATATATACAGGGATAGGAAAGTTACTTTGTAAAAGTAATTAATTACAGTTACAGTTCTTCTCTTTCAAAAAGTAATTAATTACCGTTACAAATTATTGACTCTGAAAAGTAATTCGTTATAGTTACAGTTACTGAAAAAGTAACTTTTGAGTTACTTTTAAGTTACTTTTTTCGTCGGAATTTTTACTGGTAGTACCGATACCATTAGGGCTGTATTCAGAAACGTTATCCAACTGCCTTCATGTATCGTTTTACCCTTGTTTTTCACCTAATATTAAACAAGGATGATACACGGGGTCATCAGAATAATGCAGCCTAGACAATTAAAAAAAAAAGACTAGCTTACATTTACATGTTATACAATTTTATTAAAAAAGATAAAAAAATTGTATGGCAAAGACGGTTTTCGTTAAAGTAGTATAAACACATATGGATATGAATATGAATATGAAATAGCATACATATACAATGTTTTTTGTAAAAAAAATTCTTTTTATATTCGGCTATAAAAGTTGCAAATAAATTCCAGCACTAATCCAAAATGGTCTACAACCGTTCATTGAGCGCTCTTGTATTTGATTGGCGGATTCCATTAGATCCAAAAATATAGACTAAACAGGTACGAGAGTTCATTAAACGCTTTAATCGAATTTCTTTCTTCTGATTAATCAAATGTTTCGAAGTATTTGTAGCGCCAAGTGGACACTACCGCACACTAAATTGATAAATAAGTTTAAAATATATAAAATAACTATGAAAGTAACTATTAAATTAGTTACTAGTTACTTGAAAGATGTAACTAAGTTAAGTTATAATTACAGATGGAAAGAAAGTAACGAAGTTAAGTTACAGTTACTGAAAAAAAGTAACTCTAACTGTAACTTCGTTACAAGTAACGAGTTACTTCCCATCCCTGCATATATATATACTTACATATATACCATATTTGTAATGTTACGAACTGCGCGTCGAATTGATTTTTCGGACTTATAAACGCAATTAAACTACTGTAAAGATTCTTAATATTGTTTACTGTAATAACATCGCGAATTAAATTGACAAGCAATTTTTAATAATTTGATTCTCAATCAGACATCGTATTAAAAAGATGTTAATATACTGAAAAACTGTAAATAAATTTATTACGAAAAACATTATTTATATTTATTTACGTTTTTCAGTATATTCTAACATTCAATATAACATCTTTTTAATATGATGCCTGATTGAGTATCGAATTATTAAAAATTGCTTGTCAATTTAATTTGCGATATTACTACAGTAGTTCAATTGCGTTTATAAATCTGGAAAACCAATTCGGTGCGCAATTCGAATGACCACAAATATGATATATATACGAGGTGTGATCAAAAAGTAAGGTGACTTTTCATTTTTATAAAAAAATATTCATTTATTCATCCAAAACTATGTTATCCCCTTCAAAATAATCCTCCTCTGATACAATGCACTTGTGCCAGCGCTTTTTCCAGTCGTCAAAACACTTCTGAAATGCACTTTTGGGTATTGCCTTGAGCTCCTCCAACGATGCAGCCTTAATCTCCTCAATCGTCTAAATCTTCGTCCTTTCATGGGCCTTTTAAATTTTTCATGTTTCGTCACCAGTTATAACCCTTTTGAGCAGATCAGGATCATCATTGACGTCGTTCAACATGTCTTGGGCGATGTTCTTCGCGTCGTTGATGCGACGCTGCTTCTGATCAAAATTAAACAGTTTTGGAACGAATTTCGCTGACACACGTGTACCCAAAACATCCGTTAAAATTGATTGGCATGAGCCAAACGATATGTTAAGATCATCAGCTATTTCTCTAATCGTGATTCGACGATTTTTCAACACAATTTCTTTCACTTCCTGAACATTTTCGTCGGTTTTTGACGTGCTGGGGCGTCCAGAGCGAGGTTCATCGTTAACATTTTCTCGGCCATCTTGGAATAACTTATACCATTTATAAACATTTTTTTGCTCAAAGTTGACTCACCGTACGCCACTGTCAACATTTCAAGAGTTTTTGAACACTTAATACCATTTTTTACACAAAAATTAATACAAACTCTCTGCTCCATTATTTTCAATAGCAAAAAATCGCCGAGCGCGTAAACACGAGTCTAACCTTTATGCCTCTCACATAAAAACAACACATGCTATATAGTCAAAACTGTGAACATATGATCGTGACGAGTGTACCAACACAACAAAAAAAATTTTGAAATTAGAGTTTACAGAGCGCGCGAAATTCAAAAAGTCACCTTACTTTTTGATCACACCTCGTATATATATGTATATCTGAACGTATATATGTATATACGTACGTATGTGTTTATGTAGATGTGTTTGTATGCATGTATGTATATAAATGTATGTACATACGTGTGGATGCGTGTACGTATGTATTTACATATGTACATATGTACGTAAGAGATGACACTACAGTATATGTGCTGTGGAAAAACAAAACGAAGAACATAATCATTTTATCTGCTATACATACATTATCAACATATTATATCTCACTTCTTCGCGATATTATTAAGTGTCTAGGAAACAGAGTTCAACAGATATTGCACGGCTATCGAACTGTTGATGAACGATTAACGAAAAATGTGTGGAATTAATCGGTAAAGTATTCTTTTGAAAAAGTGTAAGCAATTGCACTGAGCCCAAAACGCTAGTCTGTAAACAGAATATTCATACCGCATTTCCAAACCTAGCGAGATCACAGATTTTACATGACTTGGGGATTTTTAATAAAATTTTATGCTGGGGATAAAAGTAATTTCCTCTAAATCGACCTAGCGTGAGTTGGGCTGTTTGTTGGTTCGCACTTACCTATACAACCAAGGGGACTAACACAGAATTGGCTACTTACCTCGGTGAAGAGATGACCCACCAGTCACATAGTGCAAAACCCTGCCCCACAGCTACCTTGGTTCAGTGCTTAAGCCTTGCCACCCTCTACAAGGTCCTACAGCCCCTAGGGAAGGTATGAAGTCTATTCCTTCGCCTTTCGCGATGAAGTGGATTATTACGAGATCTCCTTTCAATGTTCATAATTTGTTGAGCAGTAGGATGGCGGCGATT